AGGCCGGGAGGTTGGGTGGCCGGGAGGCGGGGAGGTTGGGTGGCCGGGAGGCTGGGTGGCCGGGAGGTTGGGTGGCCGGGAGGCCAAGCTGGGAGGCCGGGCACAGTGCACAGGACAGGCACTCTGGACAAGTGACGGCAGCCAGCTGCTGCCACATGTGTGGCCTAGTCGACGGCGGGAGGTGGGGTTTTGAGTGAAAGTGCAAGCTACTGAAGAACCTCAAGTGACCGATCAGCGCACACGTGTCTCCAAGCTTCTGCCCCCGCGGCACGCGGAAGGGGCTGGAAGCAGGGGGAAGATGAGGCAGGGACCCGGGAAGAGGCCACTGCGCGGCCAGGCCACTGGGAAGGCTCTGGAGATGGAGAGATCGAGGGGGACCTGCGGGAGGCGGGTCAATGGCTCTCACAGACGGATCAGATGTGGGGGACGAAGGGTGGGGGGTCAGGAGTGCTCCCAGGTGTTTCACTTGAGTAACGGGTAGAAGTGGCTCCTTTACTAACAGGGTGGGAGTCGGGAAAAGGGCTTCAGGAGAGAGAATCAAAAGCTGGATCTGTGTCCACTGCCCTCGGGACATCTGAGCCGCAAATGGAACCGCCTGGCTGTGCCTGTGCTGGAACCGGAACTGAGGCCGAGGCAGGAGCTTGGAGCTGTCAGGACAGAGTCAGGGACAGCCATGCAGATGGAGGGAGGCTGCTGACAGACAGAGACAGGGAGGGCCTTAGGATGAGCCTCAAGAATTCTCGCGTTTTCAGAGCAGGCCAGGAACCTCTGCAGGCAGGAGCAGGAAAGCAGGCGGGAGCCATGACGTCAGAGAGGGGTGGCCGGCGTCAGAGGAGGGGGTGCCCCGGCATCAGAGAGGGGTGTTGTGATGTCAGAGATGGGTGCTGTGATGTCAGAGAGGGGGTGCCCCGACCTCAGAGAGGGCATGCAGGGAAGAGCAGGCCACGTGCCCCGTGCTGCAGCGATGGCCGGGACAGAGCCAGGCGACGACTGGCGACCCTGGCAGGAGCGCGTGCGGCTTCTCTGGGAGAGAAGGCAGCCATGGCCGTAGCAGGAAGTGGGACAGAACAGGCGACTGGCACGTGCACACATGGATGACAGAGCCTCAGACTTGAAACAACATCTGAGTCAAAATGGGGAGAAAACAGGAAAGTGACCCTGTAATTAACACTCAAGAAGAACACGCGTGCACCAGCGCCCCCCAGGGCCTGGCATGCGCCTCCGCTCCGCGTGTGGGAAAGGCCATGGGAGCCACGGCCAGGCCCAGCTCCACGGCACCCGCCTGGGACGGCGCTCCGACACGGTGAGGGCAGCTGGCTGCGGCCACACTGTGTGTCTCAAACCGCTGGAGGCTGGCGGTGACTATGCACGGGTTTCCTGGTCTCCCGTGGTCTCTTCTCTGAAGCCTGGATCCCGGCGAGAGGTGAAATAGTACCGACACAGCCCCGTCCTTCAGCTCCTACCTGGGCGTCTGTCACCAGGCACAGATGTCACCGTCGTTCTGTGATGAAACGTGTCCCCAGGGCACATTTCTCTTGGGGAAGGCTTATGGCAGTGACTGCCTTTCCCCTACCCCGGGGAACCTCACTCGCTCTCATAGCGCCAAGTCACAGGCGCCCGCCTCGGCTGGCAGCGAGGGGGCTGAGCGAACAGGAGGCCGTGTCTTTTCCTCGCCAACACGTTCCTTCAGGCTCCTTTCTGTAAAACTTCACTCGTGTTTGGGTAACATTCTGTGTCAAGTCTAATAGGTGCTACGGCCCATTTCTAGCTGCAGAGAGTACAGGGAGGAAGAGCACACCTAACACGCTACGACAGTCTCATAGACCCGTGGTCGGCAAACCGCGGCTCGCGAGCCACATGCGGCTCTTCGGCCCCTTAAGTGTGGATCTTCCACAAATTACCACGTGCGGGCGCGCACGTACAGTGCGACTGAAACTTAGTGGCCCACGCGCAGAAGTCAGTATTTTGTGGAAGAGCCGGTATTTCGTGGAGGAGCCACACTCAAGGGGCCATGGCTCGAGAGCCACGGTTTGCCGACCACTGTCATAGAGGAAAGTGGTGACCGCGACGCACATGTGGAGCCATGAGGGAACATTTGGGGCACGAAGGGAACGGGGGCAGCTGAGCCCTAACAGTTGGTTGATGAAGGCACCGCTACCAGCTCTCATGCATCAGGCTGCGTAAGAGGCGGCCTCCGCATAACGCGTGATGGTAAGCCCCAGCCGCTCGCACTGTGAAAACATTCACGTAGAATTAAAACTAAGAACCACTCTCAGCAGATTGCACATCATGTCCGATGCAAGTGCAGGAGGTAGGTGGGCTCTAGCATCATCATGGAGACGGAGGTATAATTACAGAGGTATAATTTCACCCACCTCTGGAACGTAAGCTCTGCTCCCAGCTCCCACCAAACTAAATGTGTTACAGGCTGTACATGTGTCCGCCCGATTTTGAAAACATCCCACCTCACGTGGTACTGAAATAGGCAGCGATTTGGACACATCAGAAGACATAAGCCACAAGCAGAACAGAAAAAACAGGCAGGTGCCTTTTCACAAACAATTTACTAGAAACAAGATCTCCGTTACGCTTCATGTTAAATGCACACGTGCCTAACATTCCCAATCTCTCTCTCAGGCACACACACACACGCAGATTCATATTAATGCAACGTTATGCACGATTTAAATTAAACATGAGTATAAAACCTCCTCTACACGACCAGCATAGAAATATTTTCTAAGACAAGAGTCATCCTCTGCATAAATGTTTTCTAAGAATTCTCGTTCAAAAGCATTTCAAAAATAAAACATTTGGGGGTAATTGGGGTAATTTGAATATGAACTTCTCATAGATGATAGTATGGATTTACTTAATTTCTTTAGCTGATTTCGTTAATTGCCTTCACTAATGATGTTACGGTTAAATAGGAAAATCCCTTTATCCTGAGGCGGTATCATGATATCTGCAATTTACTTACATGTGGCTCAAATTAATAAAAAAGTATAAAGGGAGAGAGAAATTGGACAAAATGTTCACAGCTGGTGAACCTGTGACACAGATGCACACACAGGCACACACTGTGTTCCACTGTGCTGTTCCTTAACGTGGGGGTGGGGAACGTCGGCCAGTGGCCGCGTAAGGCCTGAAGAGCCCTCTGGTCTGGACCTGCCAAGGCCTTCTGGGGGTTAGTTAGATCTGACCACCTGTAGCCGGCTAATGTCAAGCTGGTGACTTCGCACGGCCCGCGAATGATGTCACACACATCCCCATGGCCCTTGGCAGAAGCAAGGCTCCCCAACCCTGCTTTAACTTGTCCATAGGTTTAAAAATTTTTGAAATAAATTTTGGAAAAAAAAATAACTCCTACGATTGTAAATGCCAATATTTATTTCAAAAGACACTGTCTGACCCTTCGGACACCACGCTCTCCCGGCTCGGCGCTCCCCATGGGGTGACTGGATTCGCTTATTTAAATGAGGGAAAGCTGCAGATTTACTTTCACTGGAGAGGAAGGAAAGCAGCTTGGAGGTCTGGGTGGCGCCTGCCCTCCAGGTGCCACCTGTCCCAGGGAGGGGCTGGCCTGCCTCCTCAGCGCCCCCTCCAGGTGACTGGTGCTGTCTGCAGGGGGGTGCGGGCCTGCAGGAGGTGTGAGTGCAGAGACAGGTCAGGCAAAGGCAGGGACCTCCCACTGAAGGAAGATGGTCTCCCTGGGGCAGGGGTCTGGAAACTGCAGCTCGGCAAACCGCGGCTCACTGCCCCAGGGAGACTCGCGAGCCACATGCGGCTCTTTGGCCTCTTGAGTGTGGCTCTTCCACAAAATACTGACTTCTGCGCATGGGCCACGAAGTTTCAATCGCACTGTACATGCGTGCCCGCATGTGGTATTTTGTGGAAGAGCCACACTCAAGGGGCCAAAGGGCCGCATGTGGCTCACGAGCCGTGCTTTGCCAACGACGGCCCTGGGGTGTCGCTGGGGAGGCATCTCCCCAGAGAGACTGTGGGGAGTGGGCAGAGTTCCCAGGAGCCAGGCGGCCAAGCACAGAGAATCATAGTGGAGTGAGCCAGCTCCCGCTGCAGGGGCCTGACTTCTAACTGCTCACGGGCACCAACTTGCTTCCTTCAGGGCAGCAGAGAGCTGGGACCACTGTCCACCTGAGGAACCGCCCGTCGTGAAGCCCAACCCCAGATGGAGAGGGAGAGGCGGGAGCAGTCCTTTAAGAAGGGTGGGCCCAGGTGCGTAATAAATGTGGGTGGTTTTAAAAAGCCTCTTGTGAAATAACTACTTTCCTTCTTACGCGGAAAAGGCATGGAAAACAGTGAGCGCTGACAGCATGACATGGCAAAGCCACCCCGCCCCAGTGTGTTTCCCACATATATCTATGTCTGTCTGTCTGTCTGTCTATCTTCTCCATCAACTGCAGGGTGGCAGGCCGGCTCGTAGCACATCACTCTCAGCCATCATCTATCTCCCCACCACACACTCAGTCCCGGCTGGGACCTGAACGCGGGGGGAGCCGCGGGGACTCCAGGTCCCGGTGGGGGTGGGGGGCTGGCAGAGCGATGCCCTTCATCCCCAGGGAAGACAGTCCCCCAGGGAGACAGGAGCCAGCCCTCAGCTGCACCGCTCAGGCCAAAGGCTGCGTCTCCAGAAACAAGTAGCTGCTGGCGAATGGCCAGGCGGGGAAACAACACACAGAAAGCCTTTCGACCTCAGCCTCTCCTGCACAGGACAGTCCCAGGCACCGCGGGGCGGGCCTGGGGGGGAGAAACAGCATGATTAGGGGTTACCTCGTCCGCCTGGGAGGGGCTGATCCGGGGCATGGGCGAGACCTGCGGCGTCTTCAGCTGTGCGCCGCCGTCAGGCAGCAGCTCGCGGTGCACGGCCTGCACGTGGCTCTGCAGCTCGCTCTCAGACTCGAACTTGACGTTGCAGCTGGAGCAGCGTGTCTTTGGCCCCCCGGCCTTGCCTTTCCCCTCGAGGGCGCCCAGGCCTTCGTTCTGGCCCAGGCCCGGCCTGGCGGCACCGGGCGGGACGGTGAGGCCCGGGCTAGCGCTCTTGCTGAGGTTCACGCAGCCCGCGCACAGCCCATAGGGCAGCCCGTTGATGTCCAGCTTCACCAGGTCCTGCTTGGAGCGGAACTCCTTGAGGCAGGAGGCGCACTTGTACAGTTTGGGGACATGCGGGCCGCGCCCCGCGGCCTGGACCGCGGCCGCGCTGCCGGTCTTCTGCATGTGGAAGGTGCCGTGGATCTTGAG